CCCTTTAAGTAGACAAAATTGTTATCAAGATCCTGCTGTACATCATACAGTAAGAAATTTTAAACGACTAAAATCATGCACTGGATTCTGATGGCATAAAGTCAGAAGCCAAGAGCAAAGGTTCCAAGAAAATCTCCAAATTTCAGAAATTAATAACTTCTAATAACCCATGGGACAAGGAAGAAATCAAAAGGAAAACTAGACAGTATTCTCAACTAAATGCAAATGAAATACAACTTATCAGAAACTGTATGATTGTGCTAAACTAGTACATAAAGATAAATCAGATCTTCAGAAATTATATTAAGATTCCTAAAAATAAACACAAAATTTAAGAACCTGAATAACATTTTTAAAATATGTGCTTAGCCAGTCATGGTGATACATGCCAGTAATTCCAGCATTCCAAGAGGTTGATGCAGGAGAAACACAAGCCTGAGCCCAGCCTGAGCCCAGCCTGGGCAACTCAGTGAGCTACTATCTTTAAAAAAAAAGAAAAAGCGTGCTGGGGATGAAGTTCAGTGTGACAGCCCTGAGTTTAATCCCCAGTATGAGCTTCCCCACACATAAGCAAAATGTTAACTACAACCAAATTGTGTTTTACGGGTTGATTTAATAAATATACACTGAGCATATAATTTAAGCCAAGCACTATTTTGGACCCCGTATATTAATTAACCAACACAAAACACAAATAAGACCTTTTACTCTTTAACCTTTTACTCTATGGGATTTATGTATAATGTAGCAAAGCATAAAGAATAAACACAACCAAGATACTTCCAGAAAGTAATAAAGTACATTTTTAAAAATAGGCAAAGTAAAAGAAAGGCTAGGAAAGTGCTACATGAAGAGATGTGAGCCGAAACCTGGAAAAAAGGAATGTCATGTATGCAAAGTTGGAGGGTACTGAGTAATCAAACCTTGGCTAGTATTTCTGAACTGAAGGCTTAATTTTATTCAATTTGAATTAAAAAATTACTTCAAGTATGCTGGAAACTGTTTCAACTATAAATTTTATGAAATCTAAATACAGATCAAATACTTCTAATTCATTTTCTATTACAGAACTTTGTTAGAAGGGCAAGAGAGACTATCTTTGAGAATCTCAAAAAACAGAACTGTTAACTTAAATACTTTTGTGCCATTATCTGTAATTTCTGATTAGAACATTTCCTGGTTTGTAGGAAAATGAGATATAGGGTAGATGAAGAAACTTGTAACTTCAGTGTTCTGTAGGCATCTCAAACTCAAAATATCCCAAAATTCAATTTATCATTTTTCTTTTTCAATATGTTCCATATCTATTATCCAAATGTTGGGAATTTACATTCCCAACACTAGAAAATTCTTAATATTCAATTAATAAGTCTCTTATTTTATCTTATTCTTCAAATCT